AATAGCTATGTTGTAAAATTAACTTACTTTCCGACTAATTTTGTCATCCGCAGCTAAATCTTGGATTATTCTTTTATCGTCTTCGGTTAATTGATAACTAGTAAATAAATCTTCCTTCTTACTAATATAATTTGCTTCTATGACGGTTGCAAACACCGGAAATCCGTTTTTTATATTTAATGATACATCAAAATTATTTCTATAAACACCAGTGACTTCCTATGGTTAAATATAATGTATGTAAATAAAATAAAGAGTTCGTAATTTATCATGCATAACCCTATGATATCACCTACAATTTCTTCACCAGGTTTGGCTGAGTCAATCAGCTCTCCAAGTAAAATGACCTCACGGTGCCGAGGTAGACGCCCTGCTGGTACCGTACCAGGGCTTTCTTGAAGCGTTATTTTTTTGATAATCACTGTATACAGTCTATAATAGCCATTTGAGAATATATATATATTAATATAATTCGAAAATACAAAACTTAGCTAACAATCAACAAACTTGCACCTGTTCAGTATTTAGAATAAAAGGACCTTTGGACTGGCAATGGATGCAATGATTCAATTTTATCTCATTCTGAATATCTTGAGTGTATGGCCCAAGAAGGCCTCCACACTTGACACAGTTATATTTAACATATTTAAGCTGAGGAAACACTCCGGTTCGCCTTGTAATTACACCAGACACTCGTATTAAACTATTGAGATTGGTTTGCCTGTCCACAACAAATAATAATTCATTAATATGTAAAACTAATCTTATGACAGGCGATATAAAATGGTGCAATAGGACTCACCTTAATTCTCTGATATTGTGAATAACGGGAAAGTCAGTTATACGCACACGTACTTCTTTGCCAAGTTTTTTATATCCACGATGAATTTCCACAATAAAGTCATATGCAGATTCATCAAAAATATTTAACATCTCATTAGGAGATTCTTTAAGGAAGAGTGCCAAAATTTCTTTGCTCTTTTTTAAATGATTATAATTTACTTTCAAACTTTGAAGTTGATCTGATTCAAGGTAAAATATTGCATTTATTGTTTGTCTTTATATATTGAAGCAATATAGAAAAGTTACTAAAAATAATGCAGCATGCCATACCTTTTGTAAGTTCTTCAATACGAGGTCCGTATATAGATTTTCCATTTTCTACATAAGTTCTTAAAAAATTGCTAAATTGTTGATAAATACCACTTCTTACAGCTGGTATCTTGATCCATTCAGTTATAGACGGGGCCTTTATAGTTGATATCTCTTCAAGATCCATGTACTGAAATAAAAAAATGATATTGTTAAAACAACGGCATGCATAAGGATGTAAATATAGTCGAAATAATGACCTCCTCTTCCACCACTAATTTATTTTCCATTTCCTGAAATTCATTATGAACACGTCGACGACGACGTTTGTTTCTTGGCTTAGTGAATGCATCCTCTGTTGTAAAGGAACCAAATAAGTAAGGAGTTATCAAATCTTAATTGATAATAAATAACTTTGTGATCTAACCGTATAATTGCTCCCCTTGAGTACCCATTTGATCTAATTGATCCATAACCATTTCAACGCGTCTGCGAGCGTCAAAGGACATAGGTTCATGGAAATCATCGTCTATATCTTCTGTATCATAAGCATCAAGCAGGGGATTTGGCTGATAATCTCTAAAATACAATATAAATTTGACGTTCGTGTATAATTCAGAGTATAATTCAGACAAGTTTATACTGAACGTTGGATAAAAAAAAAAAAAAACCTCTCCAGTAGTTCTCCATCAAATAAGTTTTCACCCTCAGAGTCCATTTCTTCTTCGGAAACATCGTCTTTAATTATTTCCTCTTCTAAAAGGCCATAATCCTCAGAATCGATATTTTCCTGGTCTCCTGCTCTAGGAGGCGATAGCAAAGGAGGGGTTTCTGAAGGAGGAGTTGAGGCCGGGTCGGGACTAACCTCTCTTGCACGTTTACGTTCAGTCTTATTATATTTCGTTAAAAAAAATTAGACATGTATCATTTATGTATCTGCAGTTAAACTGAAAATTTTTCGCTACCATTTGGACTTGAAGGCGTAATAAGTTTTGAGTAAGTATAACGATAATCAGTAATAAAAAAAACGCGTAAAAATCGTGTACTGACTGATAGTGAGTCACGGGAAATTTTGTGGGATCCCACCAGGGACGTGGAAAATTATCGATTTGATTTGATAAAATTATCTATCGATATAGTTAAAAATATCGATTTATATCAATTTGACTAATATATATCGATATACCTCTGATCTACCAATCAGAAATGCAGGTTGGATGTAACGTGATCAAGATTTTTAAATCGAACATCGATTCAAATTAATAAAAAACTCTAAAACCTTATAATGCCCACAATTGTAAGAGAATTAAAAAGAATGAGATCTAATCGAAATTATTTTTAGCTTCTACTTTTATTTTTGAAAAATTTTATACTGGTATAAATTTTTTTTTTTAAAAAAAAAACCCCTGCAATTATTGATTATAATACATCATGGTAAGAGCACGAAGAGATTCTTTGCTAAGGTTTTGCCTATCATCATCTAAAATTTTGTTATACATAGAAAAACTTCATTCTACACTACAAGATGATATAGAAAGCCAAATATAATCAAATGCAATTTTACTTAACAAAGGCAATTGGTGAGAAACTTTAGTCCAAAACTCATCTAAAGTATTGAATTCGATTGTAGAAAGATTAAGGTTACAATAAATCACCCACTCTTGAACTAAATCAATTGAAGGATCTGCAAATTCTCTAATGCAAGAATAAGATATAATATTGTGATTAATGGTAAAAAGTGATATAAATCAAGGATCAAAAATACAGGTTTCTTTAAACAAAGATCATGTGGGATGATCTGTAATATGATCTGAAAATTTTCTATAAGCAGCTTGAAATGCAGATTGAAAAATAGACAAAAATAAATCTAAATTAGTATTGAGTTTAGAAAATACATCAAGTACTGGTTGAACCAGCGTTGTTAAAAATCTTCCTGTATTAATCATGCATTCTAATTATTCAATCCAACCTTCGATAAATGGGAATACTGGCAAATTTTTGGTTTGAAAAAAATCCAAAACTCGTGTAAATTGTTGCTCATAATTTTTGATAAATGTTAGATATATCCATATACGTCTGTATTCTTGTTGATTGATAAGAATATCTACAATTTTTTCAATTGCAGAGGAGATATTGTCTTTGTGTTCTTGAACATAGAAATCTCGAATAAATTGTAAATGCTCTTTCACGTAGAAAGCCATTTTATACCAAGAATTCCATCAGGTTGCATTAAATAATAGAATATTGTTAGGGCTTGAAACTCCATTCAGATACAAAACTTGACGTATCTTGCATGTCGACTTTTTGAAAAAATTAATGTTTTTTTTATTTCTGCAAGTAATTTATGAATTATATTAAAATGCTCAATTGATATCCACGCATTACTAAGTAAAATTAAAAATATTTATTTATAACTATAAAATAAAAATACAACAATCTATTATTGCACTAATCTAATCAAATTCATTATGTGTGCTAAACATGCTTGGTGTATTATTTGTAGCATAATCGGTCTGAGAACCTCACGAATACACTTTTTCATATACGAAGCTGAATTTAACACAATTAAATGAACATTACTAAATGAAATATTCCAATCAACTAAAGTGCGAATTATCAACTGTCCTATAGTTGAATTGTTAACAAATTTTAAGTAATCTACAACAACTAACTTGGTTAATTCACAAAAATTAAACAAGATATTAATAACATTTCTTGCCCTACTATCAGTAGCTTCATCAACAATTAATGAAACTTTTTTACTACTATACATTTGCTTAATTATAACTAAATGATCTTTAAAAACCCCCGGAAGATATTCACAACGCAATGTGTTAGCCAAGGGAATGCTACCACCTTTATATAAAAATTGTCTTAACCATGATCTCAATTTATCCACCTTTTCTAATGGAATGTCAGCCTGAATGAATGCATGAATTAAATCATTAATTGCAATTTTTCTTGATTCATTTGAATTAACAACAGCATTTAAGGTAGCTTGTCAGATTTTACAGTCACAGTCATAAGTATCCTACCCCGTGTAACTTGGTGCAGCAAACAGATAAGTAAAAATTTTTTTTTTTATTTAAAAATATATGACTAGATGTGATCCTCAATGCAATACATAATTACTATTATTAGCTATTACAGCTTCTACACGATCATTCATATCTGCCACTAATTTTGCTGCCAGACCATCTGGCAATTGACTCCATTCTTTTACTATCAACCTTTTTAACCCCTTTATTGACCAAATTTTTTTTTTTGTGAGCTTAATTTTCATAATTCCCCGAACATTTTCTATTGGATCCAGGTTTGGTGACATCGAAGGCCACAAGAGTACCTTAATACCACTTTCTTCCTTCCATTTTTTCGCAATTTTTAAACAATGTTTCGGATCATTATCTTCTTGGAGCACCTATTCTACAGAACCCTTGCCAAAAATTTTATCAGTAGAAGACAGAAGACCTTTCTCATACACAGTAATCATATATTTTGCATTCAGATTTCTTTGAAAGAGAAACAACTCACTAAACCCAGAAGCTGAAAAATAGTCCCACATATGGACCTTTGCGAAATGCTTTACAGACTGAAAGACACTGCGCTTGCCAAAGAACTGCCACACTTTTTTTGGTTGATGCTTCAGATAGAACGTACTTTCATTCAAAAAAACTACATTATTCCAGTCATGGTTCTTATGCTTTTTAGTCCACACTAGCCTTTTTTCAATATACTTATTGGTTAGCAGAAGCTTCGAAAGTTGTGTAGTATATTTGCCACCTGATTTACGCAGATAACAGCGAATTGTGGACTCACTGACTTCTACATGGTACTTCTTCATGTCTTTACAAATTTGCATAGCGGTTATGTTGTCATTTTTTTTTGCAAGCTCAATTATTTTTTGATCTTGCTTTTTGGTGGTGATTCTTTTGCGACCAGACTTTGGTTGATCATTCAAGTTCTTGGTCACAGACCA